TAAATTGGACTCAAATAGGGTTTTACTCAAAGTCTGGGGGACAAATTAAATCAGTAAGAGGAGCAGTTAGCCTGTAATTCTACCTTAAATGTAAAGATGATGCAGGAGAGACGAAGGACTGGATTAATCCCGACCTTTCCTCACTCCTGTCAACACACATCGCTGTCTTTCCTTCCCAGGTGTACTGATGCTCTGGAGTTCTGCCACGCTGACTTCTCCCTCTGCCTACAACCTCCACAGACTGTTTATACCGAACGGCAGAGCTGGCTGACAGAAAGCAGGAGAGTGGTGAACTTTGTGTGGCAGCAGTGTGTACTGGGGGCTGGGGGGTGGGTTACTTTGGCATCATTCATGCTGAGCTTCACCCGCACCCTGTCACGGTGAAGCGGTGTAGGGCAGACACACAGGTTAAGTAACCTCAGACGGCAGGGATACACCCGGAGTGAGCGGAGGAACGAGAGCATGTATGACATGCCTGTAGTGACGGTACGCTGCTGGGAACAAGCATTCAATATTCATAAAGAGTGAGGGGGGATATTAGCATTTAGGGATTGGGAGCTGTGTATGTGTTTGTGTGGCAACTTAAATGGACATTTAAGATTAGTCAAATGACGTGTGTGTGGATGCACGACAGGGCTGCGTGCATTTATGTGTACTTATGCTGATGGCTTGATGGGAAAAACACATGCTTAATAGCGCACTTGTGATTCTTAGTTACATTAGCGATGATGGAGACTATTAGGGAGTCAAGTCAAGTAGGCAATGGGGCTGCAGCGTCTCTTCGGAAGTTTGTTTGCTCGTGTCTATGCGGACCTTTTTCACTTTATATGTTAATTTGTGAAAATGTTTACCCCGGCCGGTGTGTGTTCAAACACTCGTGAGACCGTTTCTGTGCAGCAACGTTTCCGCTTGTGCCATCGGTCGGTACGTTCTGTATCAAATTTCGATTGAAACGTAGGAGTTTTTGGATTTTGTTTCTTTTTGTGTAGGCTGAAGGCCACACTGCGGAATGATAGCCAGTAAGAAGAGATCAGTTCTGTTCTCTGCTCTCAGCCTGGGGTTGGAAATGTGTTATCCTTACTCAGGCTGACAGTGCCTCTAGTGGTACATGAGGAAAGTAATCTTTAAGATGGATTTTTTTTTCTCCTTCTCATTGTTGTTTTCAGTATAATAAAACCCTGATATTACAGTTTAGGTCTGCCCGCACCTATTTTTTTTATTTGTATTGTTGGTGTGAAATAACACATTTGACTGTGTTGTTATAATGAAGTATTGTTTACACTAAACGCTTTAATTAACCAATCATTAAACTTGTAATCAGGAATTTTACTATTGTAATTTTTGAATGCAAAAGGCAAAACAGTCAAACTGTTTGTGCACTGACAAAGTAAAAAGTACTAGAAAATAGTACTAGAGAGGAGACTAACCCCACACCAGAAATGTACCAACTGATGCCATGAAAAGGTATTCCTCCATTATAGGTCTGGCCCATATTTAACTGTAGTAGGTGTGCACTAAATCGCGTTTCGGTCGTTTCACGACACGCGTTTCTCTTTATTAGTTTTTTCAAAAACACTTAATCTGCCGGAGTGTCTTATCTGTTTCACTGTAAATCACACAGATGGGGCCCTTCCTGTTTGGCTTCAGATGGAGAGTTAAGAATGAGGAGGGAGGCACCGCCAGAGAATTATTGAGATGAGTCAGGACATGTTGTATCAGTGAACTTAGCACAGAAATGCAGAGTAATAATTTATACAGTCTGTATTTACCCGGTGAGGACTGACGGAAAACACATGCTGGTTTCCATCATTATCCCGGATACCATTCGCATAGCCTTTAACCCCACACAGTGAGGACCTGGGCTGTCTTTTACAACGGGCTGACAGAGAGTCAAAACAGTGCACTTGATTTAAATGCATCTTAAAAGTATCTCCACGCAGGGTTATGAACCCCTTATGGTATGAAGCAGACACCGGCCTCTATCCGCAGCTGGACTGGCCTTAAAAGTCTCGGAATTTGCAAAAAAAGATAAAGGGTGAGTTTGTGAAATCAAACTCCTCTCGTCAACATTACCAAAAATAGCGGAAAATTTTGAATTCTCCCTGCGGATATTGAGCTTCTGAATCACAAAGGTCTGTTCTTTTTAGCTGCTGTTACGACATATTTGGTGTAGCTAAATACATATGTTAGCGTTAAATTGTGTTACACGTTGCTTGTATATTGTACCAATGTACCAATAATATGCAACATTGTATATAAATATATAGTCATTTTTGCAATAATATGCAACATTGTATATAAATAATATATAACATCAAATATACAAAAACCTGACGCAGTTAAATAGAACTAATGGGCTCCATAAACTGAACACAAGCACACGCATTAGTCACTAGTGGGGGTGGGGGGTGGGGGGGCGCTAAGGGAAAAAGTGGGTCAAGTTGTTTGTCTGGAGTGTGAATATCTGTGTCCGACACATTCATATATCTCGTTGACACGGTAAAATGTTGGTGTTTTCCATTAGAAACCTGACCTGAAAGGGTAAACAGGATCATATGTATGCATATATAGAAACACACAAATATGTGTATATATGCGTATATATGTGTGTAGACATATATATAAAATCATATATATACTTAATATTTATATATTTATATTATACAAATATATATGTAAAAAAACTCCCACCTTGGTGTATTGTACACCACTATACTGTATAGCTGTGGCATTAGAATCGACCGTTCCATGACTAAGGAAGGCAGTCAGTAATAATGGAGGCCAGAGGTGAAGCTTTTAGAACTCCCTACATTACATACATATTTAACACACGGGAGACTCTGCGGGGCCTTAGCAAGAGCTTAATTAAAAAGTAACAGCTCCAAAACATTGAGGTCGGGTGTTACTGTGTGTGTGTTTCTCTGAGTGTGTACACATGAGATTGGACGATTCTGGGATCTTAAAAAGGAATAGTAAAAAAAATAAAAATAAAAAAGCAGAAACATGATAATTGAGTCAGAATATAACATGAGCCTGTCTGTGTGTTGGAGCAAGAAAGAGAAAAACTGAGCATTCTGGGAATTTGGGGAGAAAAAACAGCATAACTCAGTCAAAATGATACATCTTTCTGACGGGATCTTCAGAACCGTTTCTTCAAAGCCCTGCCCTGGGTGAAGTAATGGTGAGGGTGTAAATTAATGCGTTCATTAGGGTTGATATCAGGTTATGTTCGGCTGATATCATGTATGAAGTGCACAATGTTGTATTGAAATATTGGGCAAAACTGTCTTTGTTTTTTGCAAAATGGTAAAAAAAAAAAAAGAAAAAAAAAGAAAAGACGCGTGGAGAGAGAGGAGGAGGGCGAGAGGGAAAAGACACCGAGACGATGAATTATTTACCATAACCCAAGGCAGTCTTATACAGCACACTTCTGCATCCTCTGGCACAGAGCTAGCATGTGAATGTGCGTGTGTTTGTGTGAATGCTGGTGGGAGTTTTAATGGCTGTTTCGCATGTGTGAGGTCTGAGTACAGTTCGGCGATGTGCTGCAACTAATCGACAACGACAAACCTCTGACATCATCAGCAAATAGACTGATTTATAATACATTGGAGAGAGAGACGGAGTTGTGGGGAGGGCAAGGCATGGCGAGAGAAAGAGAGAGACCCTGGGACAAATATAAAAATAGTAAGAAAAACAGGAATAAAGCACTCTTCTCTCATAAGAGCGAGCACCGCTAACCTTGAATTAATTTTAATTTGGAGAGCAGAAACCTTCGTAGGAAGAATAACCAAGTCTGGAGAAATGAGAAAATAGGAAAAACACAGACATGCTAAAAGCATTAGCAACGGCACTAATAGTAGAGTCAGGAAGGAGGACGCGATGAGTTTTTTTTTTTGCGTGGAGAGAACATCGTTGGTAATTTAAGAGTTGGCAATTTTATCTGAAGCCAAGACTTCCTGCTTTACGAAAAAACCTTCTGAGGAAAAAAAAAAACAAAACAAAAAAACAGCTATCGAGTTGTTTTTTCCCATGTGGGGTCATCTGAAATGTCTATGGTTGAAAACACCACACATCTTAAAGACTGTGTCTGGGGCCGTCAGATATTGTGATGTCACAAGCAAAAAGGTTCGGACCCATTGAGCTAAAGTGATGTTCTGGTGTCGTCTCAGAGAGATCCAATGGTGTTGGGGAATGGTGCATGGACTCTCATATGAACAAACACTGCATATTTTTGATCACCATTCACTGTTCCATTATTCAGTGTGAGGCAAAATCACAGTCGGTTGAAGTTGAAAAGGCGGTATAAAAAAGTACTTGAGAGTACTTCCACATACTCTGGTTACCTCTGAGCCAGTAATAATTTAACAAATATTCAACAAAACGGATCCAAAACTTCAGATACCTCTAACTTAAATCACATTCCAACACTGTCTTAGTTAGTCAGTTCAGCTCACCATTCATTCTGACCAGGCAGCTCGTGAATCCAGGTCACAGGGTTCTCTCCGACGAAGCCCATGTCATCGTGGGAACTGGAGGATGATTGGTCGGAGAGGTTGGCAGGCAGCAGGGGCGGCCGGTCGTCCTCTATCATCACAATGTCGTCCTGTGGCATGTTCACAGTGGGGGAGAGCTGATAGCTCCCTGGAAGAGAAGGAGACAGAGGACATTAGAAGTGGATACGTTTAAGTTCCTTATAAAGTTAAAAAAGCCGCTTTAATCACAGAAATAAACCGAATGTTAAGATTAAAGACTTAAGGTGGACTGATTGTGTTAGAGAACTGTTTTTGGTTTCTTTTCTCCCCTCATTAATCATCATCAATCTTCAACTAATAATCACACACCAAGAGAATAAAAACAAACAAACATGTAATCGTAAGCAGAGCTGAAAAGTTTTGTCCAAGGTTGTAACACATCAGGAATTTATGTCCATGTTTTTTTTGTTTTTTGTTTTTTAAGGCGTCCCAACAGAGTTGTCTGATAACAACTGTGAACTCGGTCAGATTGAGGAAATTACATGCACATGCTGAGGCACAATCACTGCAGACAATTGTTACTGAGCATAACAATTTTATCCTATTGAGTAATTGCAAGATAATGCGGGAAAACATGGATTAATAAACTATGACATTTCCCTATCAAACAGGCCTGAGGGACATTCATTCTTCCAACAGAATGTCTTTTATTATTTTGAATGTGTATTTGATGCATTTAAAAATAAATAAAGCCCAATTATGCCATGATAGCCATGGGAACCCGTCTGGAATACATTCACATAACATCACATTGAAAAGTTGGGAGCGCTGAACAGTTGAAAAATCAGAAATCTCTTCTCCTCCGTCCTCTCCAAGGACAATGGGAACAGATGAAGAGCTCCCCTTGATCTGTATTCCACACCTCTGACCGTCCCTGCTGAGAACTTCTTTCAAAGCCTCCTTTGCTGCTGCTGCTGCTGCTGCTCAGGAGTCAAAGTCAATGGGGAATTTGATGCTGTGACTGACACTCAGCACCAAGGGCAGCCCAAGGTTGTTCACAGGCATGACAAGTGGCATCGCAATCCAGAGATGGAAGATCCACTCTGCACCAGGATCAGTGCGAGTGCACCAGACATGCATTCACAGGAAGGGAGGATTGGGGGGAGATGGGGGAGGTACTGTCAGTGTGAGTGATGAGGTTTAAGCCTAATCACACACCTGTCTACTATTAGACGGGGATTTTCAGTTATGCTGAACTTCCTATGATCTCTGTTTTCGTATACATTATAAACCATTTGGCAAATTTAATAGTTAAGGACCAATTGTGTATAATCGCTTACAGCAGATAATAATATTTACTCTGGCAACAACCCCGACATGAGTCTGAGAGATATTGTACTTAGTTGACTGAAGCCTAGTGATAAATGCGTGTTGTGGATCTATACATCAGCCAAAATAAACATCTATTTAAGAGATAACATAAATCAAGCATTCTTCTGAGATAAAGTAGAAAAATATATGTCATAATAGACAGATGTCTTATTAGTGACGTGAAAAATCAAAACTCAAGAAAAAACAGAAGGAAATACAACAGTTATGAAAATTAATGTTTACAAAACCGTAGTGAGATCTGCTATGCTGTGTTGTGAGCATACTGTAGTGGCGTTTTCTCAACAGCAGGAGGCTGACTCAAGTGGAAGGTTTGACACTGCTGATGTTTTGAATGAGAAACACCATGGAGTTCTCGGTTAGAAATGAATATTTCAGAGAGCGTGAGCTTCAGTATAGACCTTTGGAAAGAATGTAAGAGGCACAAGGTTGAGATGTACTCTGTATAGAGAGAGTATATGAATTGAATTAAAGATACTGGAGTTGACCTCCGGTATCTTTAATTCAATTTACACGCTGCCAGACAGGGGGAGGAAAAATGACCAGAGGAAGAACTTGTTGGATGTAGTGAGGAAGAACATGATTATGATTGGTGATTGATGGTCATCTATGATGAAAATAAACAAAATCAACAAGAAAAAAATGAAAAAAACAGCAAAAGAAGAGTAAATACCAACATGTAAGATAGGCATAATAATAATAAGCAGCCATTATTATTATTATTATTTATTATTATTGTTATTATTATTATTATTTATTATTATTGTTATTATTATTTTTATAGTTTCAGATGTGAGTGTGCTTTGACTTCTGTGTCATTGCACACCTCCAACACCACGCTCGTCTGTCATCATTCTCACATTTAGAAAGTGTCAGAAAAGTGTGATGGTGTCACAGGAGATGCCCTGCAGGTTTCACAACCACTGGGGCTTGTCCACGTGCCAGCCCTGACTCTAACTCACTGGTTGGTAGAATGACTTTACGATTGCATCAGTGACACTGGAACAGTCACTAAAGTGATATTTTACAGTCACTTTTGATATAACAGAAGTTTATCCTTTTTAAAAAAAATAATGTTACTGCTGCAAAAACACATTGGGATGTTACTGTTGTTTCATTTTGGACCATAGTGAATTGTCTCATGGGAGTCCTCTGGCAGATACAACCCAAAGCAGCAAAAGATACAACCTGGTGACTATGACCATGACCAGGACAGGGACTGCAGAGACAGGGACAGACGTCCACAGCTTGGACCTGGTATGGATCCCACCACAACTGGACAAGACAGAGCAAGAATAACAAAGTCCAAGAACCCGTCTTAGGAGTCGAGGGACAGAATTTAGTCCAATTTAATTTTCCATTTTCCAAAGGTATTTTATCATGGAAGTTGTACCTCAGATTTCAGAGAACCACAAAGTCCGTTGGCCAGTTATGCCTAGGACTGTAAGAGCACGCCAAGACCAGAGCAAAACAGTTAGGGGCCCTCTTGAGATGGATGACATCAACTAAGTAGGGACAATGTGCACTCCTAAAGACAATGCATTACGTTTAATTGCCCCACACTGGCTTATATCAGCAGATCACTTTTGCTGGAGGACGGATTTAATTAGAAACTCTGGAGGCTTTCTTCTGCCAGCTTTATGAAACATTTCCAGTCAGGACCTTTGACACAAGTGGCCGGCACAGCAGATGAAGAGCTGCTAAGAGCATTTCACTCTCCTGCAGGACACACACGAACTCACGCATGGTCACGATAAACGACCAGTGGACAGGTAGAGCCATACACGCCGCGAGACTTTGAGAGGTAAAAATAATTACAGAAACTGCAACGATTGCTTTTCTGAAGTTGTTAGCATAATGGGCTCGCATGACACCGTCCGACCCCAATACGGTTTGCACTGACATTAATGTACAGCTTAACTGGGGCTGTTGGCCCGGCAAAAACTGAGGAAGCACAAATTCTACACCTCCACGATAGGAGGTCCGTGCGAGTAGGCTGCAAAAAAATGAAAAAGCAAAGGTGAGAGAGATTAAACGGACACAAGGAAGGAGCGGTGTCAACGTTAGAGGTGTTTTGCGACGGTGAAGTGAAGATCAAACTGCTTACAAACTCTTCTGTCTGCAGTGTTTCTCAGCGAGGAAGAGGGAAAAAAAGGTGACAGTAAGAAACACGAGAGGCCCATCTCTGCATATCAATTAAATGAAAGGAGCGCTTCTGGCTCCTCTCTTCAACACGGGTCACAGACGCTGCAGTCGGCAAAGTGCTTCGGCAGCAGACAACAAACCTTACTGTTGGAAAGGTACCTGGGATTAGGGACCAGGTGGAATTGAACCCTGAACCCTGGCAAGTTAGAATCCTACCACTGTTCCACTTAGGGCCCCGTTTGAACAAATCATCAATTAAATAATGGATCAATACTGCACGTATCAACCTTAAGAAGTATAATTGTATTTCAGTTGGTAAAGGTTAACCAGGTTAACTAGTTAAAGATTCACCATCTATAACCAACCGCAAATAGTACATCGGTTTTCTGCCACATTAAAGTATGTGATATATCCAGTACACCGAAGTATTATTCGTTTTGTGGGACACTCGTTTCTGCTGCTGCACAGAAGCAGACAAAGCTAAGCCCCTAAGCTAGCGGCGATTAGCACGTGGAAGCTCAGGAGTTCCATCTCCCTGTGGCGCCGACGGAAGACAGAGACAGATGGACTCTTTGGCTTAAAAGGCCACCTGGCTGCATGCATTCAGCCAGACCTGTGCTCCGCTCCCATCATCCCCCTGTCCCGACCGAGTGTTGCCTGTTGAAACATTGAATTGTGGGGTGAAAGGTCACACTAATAGCCCTACTCCATCTTTTTCTCCCTCATGATTCCCCCACATCTCTGTCCGTCAGACACTCCCATGCTTTCCCTCAACTCTCCCCTTCTCCGCCGTCCCACGTCCTTCTGTGACACTTGGCCTATTGATCTGCACGGAGAGGAGATCATTAGCCCATCCATTCGGCCACAGCTATCAGACCCCATACATGGATTTCAGCAGGTGATCACTCTAAGTACGAGCTGGTGGGAATCAAAGCCGTACGACCGACAGGGGACACTGGAGCTATTTTTTAACTGTGTTCTGGTGATTCTTCCGTCAATGCAATTGATTGGAGCATTGAGCTGATTGGCTCGGTGACAGTGTTTTATTTCCTCAACTCAGAGAATCTCTCCGTCTGAATTTAGACATCAGTGATTTGAAACAAAAAACATGGGAAAACAGAACCTTTTTTTTCCCTCTGTTGTTACAAATACGTAACACACACAGAAAGTATATCTGTTATTTTCTAACTTGGGGAAATCTTACTGTGGATGGAAGGTTTTGTCTCCCACTGCTGCGTTTGTTTCGGCGAATGTTGGATTTTCTGTGTGACTGTACCATGAGTGAGCTTCCGCAGCTCCCACCTCACACACCTTTCAGTGCAGTGGTTTTTTGTTGTTTTTTTTTTTTTTTGTTCAGGCACTTGGCCAAACAGTCACATACACAAAGTATTAGTCCACCAGCCTCAATTTTCACCTCAGCATGTCGACTCCTGCACCTGGCAGCACTTTTCAATTTAACAGGACGGAAGGCAGAGCTGGGGATGATGCTGATGACTCAAACCCAAGCCGACACACTCCGCACGCACAGGAGATGTCAATCTGTTCCATAGATTCTTTTTCTTAATTTTATTTTATTTTTTGCTTTAAAAAGACATTTCCAATTACTCACCACGGCAGCAGCAATAACAGCTACAGGTGGAAGGGGTGGAATAAAAATAGAAACAAAAGCATTCTGAGCAAAAACAACGTTCACCACCTGCTCGTTTTAGATGCTGCCTCTGGTCACGAGTCAACAATTCGTAGTGCGTGTGTAAATTCAAAGCGGGTAGACTTTCATTTTGTAGACAAGTTACTCGATATATCGATCAGCTGATCGTATTTGCCCTCAAATACACAAACAAACAACGTCCTCAAATAAAAAATACAATACAACACAGCATCATAATGCCTGTGCAGGTCATTTAAAATGGTTTGACTTGGTTGCCATGAAAATTATCTCACATTGCCAGACAGAAATGTATTTTACAGAAAAAAAAAATCTGCATTTACAATAATACCAGTGTGAGGTTTAGCAGTCTAGCAACTCGCAAAATAAAGTCATAAAATAAATGTTCCATCTTTATTTTTCTTTAAAAACAATTCTTAAAATGTACCTCAATTGTACATTTATATCAACACAAATCACTCTGCTATTGTTATTGAAACAAAAACAGAAGAGAGTCTAATTTGTTGAGGGAGTTTTTTTCCCTGTCTCAGATGGAGAACAAGGATCTGGAGAAGGAGTTACTTCGTCTGTTGGAAACTCTCCTGTGACTCTGCTCTCTGTGGATGTTCAGAAATGTACAGCAGCACCTGTGCCTGCCTGCCTGCTTTCCTGCCTGACAATGTCCCAATCTTCACGTCTGGCCTTCATGATTCAGTAATTTAGCCGGTCTCCGTACAGTCAACATGGAGCTGTCAGTCAGCTCCTGTCAACTGAGCGCTCCCTGACCTTGGAGAGCCGCGCTCTGTGTCTGTCGTCTAACCACAACTGTCACATCTCACACACCAGGCAATATGTCTGAGTCTATGTGGAATGAAATATAAAATAGGACGGAGAGGAGGAGAAGGTAAAGAATAAATCTATGTTTTACAATAATTCGATGGCAAGGGAGTTAACCCAGGCTGACAAGAAAAAAGTTGGAAGTCAAATAATTTTATAAAGTAATTCTGGAGCATTTTGAAAGGTTTGCTTTCAAGGAGAATTTTCGTGATTTAGTCATGAGCAGGAGGGACAGAGAGACAAAACTTTATTCTTTCGGAATAAATCTGCAGCTACGCTTTAATGCAGTGGTTCTCAAACTGTGGTATGCATACCACAAATGGTACACGAGTGCTCTCTTGTGGTGCGCGGGGAAAATTCCTATTTTCACATTTACATTTTCAATTGAATAAATCTGAAACATACCATGGTGGAAGCTAATAGTGAAGGCCTGTGCTGCTATATTCTAATGCTGGTCATCATGGTGGTACTCAGAGAGCTCAATGTTTTCTCAAGTGGTACTGAATAGAAAAAGTCTGAGAACCACTGATTTAATGCATTTTAGGTACAATATCAAAGAGTATTTTGTGTTTAATAAATTGCAGACAAGGTTATTAAAATAATTCAGAAAGTGAGAAAGAAAAAAAATCACTCAACAGCAGCACATTGTCTGCTTTGACACCTGAGGTGTTTCAGTCTACCTCAGTGCGGCAGTGTTGTGTTGCAGTGAAGATCACTGCAGAAATTTAAATAAGAACATTGTATCAGGTTTCAATGTGAAGACCTGTCACAAGTTGTTTGCTCAGGTTTAATGAGGACATGACTCAGAGACAGCCTGAAGACAAAAAAAAATACAGAAAGAAAGAGCGCTGACATATTTTTGCAGCAAAACAATACAAAGATCTGAGATTCCTCTGAGCGTCAGCTGCAATAACTCCCCTCCCAGCCTCACAGTTCTCTCTTTTTTCAATTTGGCTCATTTGACTCCCACTCTATGGGATTAGATGTGTGCAGGGCTCTACTGAAGTTTTAATGTCATGAAACTTTTTTTTAAACGCCTACAGATGCGGTTTATGATCGCAGCATCCTTTTGGAAAACCTGTTTTGGAAAAAGCAAGTGGAAAAAAAGGTGAAATTCAGGGGAACAAGACTTGACAAGATTTGTTTTCAGGTGGAGGAGTTAGGCATGATAAAAGAGCCGAAAATAAATGTCAAGAAGGGTGTGGGGGGTAGGGGGGGGGAGAGACAGAGAATGTGCCGGGGCAGACACTATTGATCTAGAAGCATAATTAACCATCAGATGCCTGTGACACTGCCTCTGATCTTCTATGATCAGTAACAGTGTGACACCACTCTGGGCGGAAACCGCTGGGAGAGAAATAGGAGAATAAGTGGGAGACAAGTGAAACGGGGTAAAGTGTAGACTGTTGATGGTGTATATATTTACTCCATCAGTGCAAAGGAGGTGAAACATGAGAAAGAAAGAAAAAAAAACACGCCAAAGAAACCAGTTTATTGTTAAGTAAAGTAAAATGGTAAAGAAAATAGAAACGGTTGACAGGAGGCGGGGAAGGACTGTGATCTGATCAAGAGGAAAGAAAAACGAAATTAAAAATTCATCCCCACCTTCCGTACAGTGATGCAAGAACCTGCTGCGTCTTTGTGTACGCATGCATGAAAGGTCCGTCCGTGTTAAGATGACAGCTGCGCCGGGGCTGCGAATTGAATTGCCAATTCTAATACACCTTAAAGACGGGAGATCTGGCTCACCGATGTCAACTGGGTAAAATGGGAATTGACCTGAGTGAAGTGAGTCGGGAGTGGATTGGAGGTGGCGAGAGAGCTGGGGATGATGTTAATCCCTGAAAGGTTTGAAGTAACGCTCTTTACGATGCAGGGAAATAAGGCTTTGAAGGTTACTCCGGCTCTGGGTTTCAGGGAGAAAGCGTAGCACGACGCAGAGTGCATGTTAAAAGGTGTTATCAAACAGTGAACTACACACGGCACCAGTTCGTGATGAAACAACTTCACCGACCATTACTGCACATTTGACGTTTATTTACCTAATAGAGTGGTGGACGTGTTGAACCAGCTGGTGTGGTTAGGTTGTCCAACTCACCAACTCAAACGAAATGGGTCAAACCTGTGTCCATTGGAAACTTACCGATTCTTCTGACCACATTGGTCCTCGGTGAGGCGATATTGTCCAAGCCTTCGACGGGATCGTAGAGGGAGTGGGAGATCCGACGCTCGTGGCCGTCCATTAAAGAGTTCAGCTGCTGCTCTAACGCTGTAGGGCTGCCAGGGACTTCCTGCAGAGAACCAGAAGAGAGATTTGACGTTGGATATGGAGCCATATTTAACTACATGGCCTACAAATCAAAGACATTTTTACCCAGCTAATCTACATAGTATATTTATTTCATAGTTTCCAGTGGTGCACAGCAGTTACATATATATATATATATAATATAACACACGTGAATAAAAAAACCCAAACCCCTCAAACCTTAGAACAGTGGTCTCCAATTATACAACTATACTGTTGGAGGGCCGGAATTATTTTGGAGAGACTCCATGAGGACCGGACCTTAAATAAAATAAAATAAAATATTGAGTTTACTGATAGTTATTTCAGTCTCAGTTGTTGATTTTTCTTTTGTCACTTTAATAGATTCCAGTGGTACACAAAGGTACACAAAGCAAGTCCAAGTTATCCAATAAACTGTCCTGTTACTTCAGCAGTACTGACACTTATTTTTACTTATATTCACTTATTTTCTGGTTTAACAGGGTGAAATCTTACTGCTGTTTTTTTTAGCTGGTTAAAGCACCAATGATTTCCCAAAGGCCAGAAACAGCTGTCTCCAACAATAAGCCATAGTGAACGGACCAGTGACCTTCGCCATACGGTCACTGTGCCCGACCAGTGGTTATTGGTCCCACTGTAAACTCTGTGCACATGTCAGTCAGATAGGGACACACACTGTAGCCGGGCGCAGTCCTCTGACTAACTATGGAGCTACCACACAATCAAAGTCTGACTTCATATCCCACGATGCCTCACAGCACCGTGAGAGCATCGAGGGAACAAACATAGGAACTATCACCTCTGGCTTCCTCACGTCTAGACGTCATTTTCAGAATCACTTACAGGGAGAGGCCTTGGATTTCGACGATGCACCACTTTATTCATAAAATTCCCTTTCTTTTGGCTGGAGGCCAACAGAAAAAGGAATACAAGATCAGGGAAATCAGACGAGGAGGAGGAGGGAACCAAGAGGGTAAACAGATCAAAAGTTTAACAAGAAGAAATGGGGATTTAGTCGAAGTGCAGTGAGGGCGTTGCCGTGGTTGCTGGGGATGTAGTCCAGTGCACCAACAGAGGGGGAGTCGCCGGCTGTTTAATATAAATGAGAGGTTTAATGAGGTTGGGAGTGTTGGACTTTATCACCACAGTGTGCTGAGAGTGTGTGGGAGTGTGTGTGTAGGAGAGAGAGAGGGAGAAAGAAAGAAAGAAAGAGAAAGTGTGCGTGTGTGTGAAATAGGGTGGGTCAATTACAATCAGGGAGCCAGAGCCACTGGCAGCCCTGTAATAAAAAGCGTGTCCCCGGATGATTCAGGCTCAATAGAGCCCAAATTGTTTAAATGAAGATTTATTTTACTTACTTCTCTTTCATCTACTCAAACAGTTCTCGGGAGTTCAGATTCTGTGGAGACTTGTCAGGGGCTGACGTGGAGTAAGATGGAAAGTTCCAGATAAGGGGCCGGCTGGCAAATGTGTAGACGCGGTGGAACAGAGAGTGCTGAGCGGCTGAGAATCAGCGATATGAAAAGTATGCACGGAGCGAGTCAGAAACGGAATGGATTTCAGACAGACACTGTGTGCCTGCACCTCGGAGAGCCGCTGGTGTAGTCTAAAACTATTCATTGGATTCTACAGCAAATAGACTTTGGGAACCACTTAGCATAGAGCTAAAATGGCAGCAATTTAAACTTTGTGTATCCAGTATTAATTAAGTGTGCTTTTGTGCATACTAATGCCTCAGCTGCACAAGACTGTTTACAGATGTGGTGATGTTTACACGGCGGCCCGGCACTGTGCGACAGACTGTGAATTTTTATGGAAAACTCTGCTCCCTTTAGTTCATTCTGTTCTATTCCTATGTTGATATAACAAAGTTAAACATCCTGGTGTTCAACAGTAATATTTTTATTAAGAATCAATATTAAAAAAGGAAGCCTTTTTTTCCAACTTACCCTGACCTAGTAATACATATTTTAATAGATATAATCAACATTCATTACACTTTCATATATTTTGCGACCGTTGATGTGGGGGAATCCAATACCATGAAATTGATTTACAATGTAGACGTGAGGTTCTGATCATTACGTCTTGGTTTATACTGTCCACAAATATTGACACACACTCACATAAAAAAACATGTAAACTTAATATTTGAAAGGGGAAATTCAACATAAATTCTTTGGTAATATCAAAAATGAACAAAACTATTTTGGCCTGGTTTAATCACCAGGCGTATTTGTCCATAAGAGGATGCGCTCCTTGATGATCCTCAGATCCTTATTTTCGACTCACAGTTCTCATCGCCCTCATGAGTCTAATCTGTCTTAATCTAGTAATTTTCAGAGTGGATTATTGTGTTGACTGAGATACTGGACAGAGCTCAGTGACTTACAGTGAACCCAGTCAAGAAGAACTCCTCAGTGTCTGGACTCGCTGCCTTCATCTGTTTGTTGTGGCTTAATGTATACTTCAGGTGAATATGAGTGTGTGTGTGTTTGTTTGTTTCTTGGTGTAAACATATGTGGTAAGTGCAGACCTGTGCACAATGTACCTCTTTCCTGACCTTGACTTGTCAGCGAGGCAGAAACAGCAGCGCGTTGACAAGGTTCTTCTTCAGCTGTCAACCCAGGTTAGTAACCTACGCTCCGAGACCATTTCCTGGCCTTCCCTCCTGCTCTCTTGCCCACTGCTTTGGCCCTAATCCATTCAACCTCCACTATAATGCTGTAATTAGAATCCTTAAGCTGCTGCTTCTCGCCAGGGGCACAACACACACTCCGACGCTGGCTGGATTCCCCGCTTTTATTAGCTCCTTACATCCAACTAGATCCTCCTTTAATAAGATGACCTTCCTTCCAGGTGGACAGGTTTTACAAGCTCCGGGTAAAACCAAAACATTACACACAGACAGAGAGAATCGCCACGGGAGATGGGCGAAAAACTTTAAGTCCAACGTCAATATTGGTCACTTAGAAATATACACTGAATGGAGCCAAATATATATATATATATATATATATGTTGTTTTCAGTCAAGATCATATTACTGTTGCGATTCCTACTAATACGGCTGTGTAGATCAACACAACACCTGCCCTCGGCTGACCTTCCTCCATGGTAAAATGGCCCACTCCACCACCAGATCCAATATATTATTTGTTAAATTGGTCCCAGTGAGTTCCTCCTCCTGCTCCTAAACGGGTTAGTCCTCAGAGAGTCGCCCGGGAATGAGGACCCAGCAGCAGTGGAATTGCATTTCTTTTGCTCTGCAAACCACTTTCCTCAATTTAGCCGCCACTTTGTAGCCAACTGCATTTCCCACAGTGCATTGCTCTGCCATTAAGCCTCCTTAGTTCTAATGACATGTAGTTCCAAGTTAACAAATCCTGATCATGTCAGATTTTCTTTTTTACATATTTTCATTTTTGGAACAGTGAAGAGGACAGCTGTCCATTTCTTTGTCTCCCTGTTGCTGACCAGCTTCGCAGGTCTCTCCCCGTAGTGGTCAGCTCAATACTAATAAAACCATAATTTACTAGGCTGGGGCTCTGATTGATAGCCTTTGCAGAGCTTTATCGATCAGCCCTTCTCCCATCCAAGTGAGCACCTTTTGTTAGGGCCGGCCATTTCCTTCCTCTTGTCTCCTTGCATAAACATTTTCCCAGTGACTAAGTACACCAGTAGTGAAGAGGATTACACACACACGTGGGCCGGTAGCATGCTGAGGGAGCTGTCTTAGATACATGATAGGCTATAACATGATATGATCCTCTTTTTCACGGGGTTAACTTAGCATCCGTGACTGTAAGCTTCAATGCTGGGCTGATGTCTCTGCTGCTCTGATCAGTCTGCTGTACGTTACGGTTACTTATCATCAGTAACAGAACAGTGCTTACTATAACCTGACCTTGTTCCCTATTAGAGTAGATGTAGAACAGAACAACTTCATCATTAGAAGCAGGAGAGCCGTCAAAGATGGGTCAACAATGCATCTGTAATGTGCAGAAAACATCTTTACCTCAAGACATATCTTTAATTTTCATTAGGTGTTAGCAGAGGTGTGGACTCGAGTTGCCAATTTGATGACATTAGACTCGACTTGACAAAATGTAAAGAGACTTGCAACTCGACTTGGACTTTAACATTACTGACTCATGACTTCACTTGGACTTGAGCCCTTTGACCTGACAAGACTTGATACTTTCTCCAAAACCCATAGTGATCTGTGTAAATATATTATTATTTTGTTTAAAATGACTCAAAAGGACTCGAAAGGACACGAAACATGAGACTTACTTGTGACTTGCATTCAGTCTTGACCCGGACTTGAGTGCAAAGACTTGAGACTTACTTGTGACTTGCAAAGCAATGACTTGGTCCCATCTTTGTGTGTTAGTATGTAGACGTGTGCTCTAACATAATGAATGTCAGAGCTAAATCCTCCAAAAAACAAAACAACTGCCGCATCCACCCACCCCCTCCCAAAAAAAAAAATTCTCCCTCTGCTGTAACAACGTGCTGATACTTTTGCACGCAAGATCAAGCAGTGATGAAATCTATGCAATTTTCATTCACAGAGGTGGCCCGAATGGGCTGCACACATCTGAGTCCTCGCCTCTGAGGCATTAGGCTCCACTGCTCGGCCGGTCTCCCCTGCAGACAATGATGGATCTGCTTCATTTTAATGGTGGCCTCCAGTGCTCACTCCTATTTGGCTGGGTGACAGTGGCAAACTAACCCTGGCTCTACACAAAACTGCCTCCCGCCTGGTCAACACACAGCACAGCAGTGGGGGAGAGTAGAGCGAGTAGGTCTGCTACTTTCAAAAAATGTTACTCTTACTATTAAGCTACTTAGCTACCGAAATACGGCGCAACTTAAGTAACGTATCATTACCTGTAATGGGACTTTAATGGACGCAACCTTTAATGCACTTTTACGTCTCTTCGCTTCCGCCGTTGTACAGGCCTTTGATTGCAACGTCGATACGCCGTCTCACAGCAACTGACGTCAAGCTGTATACAAACCGTCGGTAATTTACTCTTTGAAATGTCTCAGCAGTTAAAATGCAACCTTAATGTAAGACTGCCACATGTGATTTATCTACCCACGAGGTGACAGAATAAGAAACAAACCTATAAATGTAAGAGGGAGAAAAAAATGGAAGTGCTTCTCAGTGCTCAGTGTCACTCTCTGTCCCGGTCTGCCTTTCCGACTGCCTGGTGCTAAGGGATTAATGAGGACAGGAGAGTGACTGGACCCAAGCGATAGAAGTCAGTGAAGCTTGAGGCTAAGCTTGCCCAGGAGGGTTATGTATCCTACACTCCACTACAGCAGTGAGGGAAAGGGAAATGTTGCAGTGGCAGGAAAGAACACTTTTTTTGCTGATGTGATTGTTTGAGTACCAATGAGATGACAAAATATATCATAGAAAGCCACATTTTGATTAAATGAATTGATGTGTAAATGCAAATAAATATTTCACCATGCGGTAAATCAGGAAAAGATGGAGCTAAAGAGAAAATAAAATTTGGATTATGAAATTGGATTAGTAAAAAAAAAAAAAACTCTGCCTTTTCATGCTATATGTGTGCTGTCTGAAATGTATTGCTCAAACAGCACAGTGCTGCATTGTGGGCCTTTTTTTCTTTTTTTCGCAGGGCTGTTTTCTGCAGTCCAAAACAAAGCACTTGGGAAGGAGAGTTTGTGCGTGGCCATGAAATCGTAATGATACGGCCGAAACTGAAGGCTTGACTGAATAACGATGAGAGAAAGCAAACAAGGAACACAGTCCATTCTCAACATGTGGAACTTTATCTTTCTCAAACAAGTTTTTTTTTTTTTTTTACCTCAATCTGATAATGAAAAAAGTCCATCAATAAAGTATCTACAAAAAAGTTCATAGACACAAGATCATATTAAATGTGTATTAGAGCTGGCCTGCCGTTATATAGCCAATATATACTGGAGGGATTCGTAGTATTAGCGATACATCGCTGATAGCTTACTACATATTGATACTGCCAGATTTAATGTTTACGCAAAACTAATTACGTATCCGGGGAGAAGGGAAAACATGCACATTTCCAGTCAATTATTCAATAAATATTGAGTTTGACACCCCTGATCTACAAGATACTTAAATACAGCTGGGGGTGTAGTGTTTGTGAAACAAAGTATTATATCAGAGTAGTCTTGGTCTTGGCACTGTGATTGGTTCGGTAAAAGATGACAGTCCTACCATTTAATGACATTAAGTCCCCTCACTTTCAATATTCTCCGGCGGAGCCCCATGATAAACATTCACCTTGACAGAACGCATAACAGTTTATCTGCATATCGACCGTGGCATTTCATAGAGCTGTCAATCATAACTCATCGAAGTGCTCCTTAGATATCAAATCTAGGCCGACCGTGGAAAATATGAGACATTTTACTAATCTCACACAGGATATTGGGCTGTTTGAAGATTTGCACGGTGCTATGGTCATTTCTCACAGTCCTGCTCTGCTGTCTGAGAGCTTAAAAACCCCAGAGGCAGACCATGGTAAGTTGATGCTGTAGGAAAATTGAGAGGCAGGCCATGGTAAGTTGATGCTGTAGGAAAATATTCTCTTATTTGTGAATCAATGCATTTAAATTTCAACCGTTCATCTTTTTCCACTAAAAGGAGAATAGATATGCGATTGTTACCTGTCGGTCAAAATGTGTGATGCCGACTGAATAATCAACATTTGGCTTGGGTCAGATCCACCCCACCACACCCAGGGCAGTGTAGAGTCTCGGTACATTTTCCTACCTCACAGTTTTTGGGAAACCGTCGGGCCACAATCAGCTGGATCATCCCCCGTTTGTTGCCCTCTACTGACATGGATTTGCGCAGAGTCTCCATGGCTTCCTGGTTGGTCATTCCCAGCAGTGATTCTCCGTTGACTGCAATGAGTTGGTCATTGACGAGGAGACGTCCATCCTGCAGAAGAACATCAGCAAAGATTTTATTTTGTAATTTCCACTGTTTTTGCTATATTATTATATTAAAACAATCCTTTGTTTACTTCGTTTCCACTGTTTTTGCTATATTAAAACAATCCTTTGTTTACTTCTGAGTTTCAGAAAACTGCAGTACTGATTAACATCTGTAATGTACCACTGAGTTTTCTACAAATTAGTGACCTCATGCTAAGTAATCCAACAGGCAAAACATTGCTCCCTAAGGAAAAAGGTCATGGTTACCATATCCAAATTAACACCATGTGAACACAATAAATCAAACTATATCCACACTACTTTCCCTTCACTAACATGTGGAACACAACAAAAAAACTCAACAAAAAACAAACAAAAAAACAAACAAAATTAATCAATTTAATCAATTCAAAATATGTTAATAATTTGTGAGAGAAAACAAATCCCATGCCTTGCTGGCGGCTCCTCCATTTATAATAGATTTCACAAAAATTCCCAGGTCAGCGTGGTTCTCCTTGGACCGATTGCCCTTGACGCTGACACCCAGCCCGGCGGAGCCCGAGTCATTTAAGGGGATCTCATAGGTCATGAACTCTCTGGTGCCATCTGGGGTTAACACCAGGTCATCTTCCTCCTGCTGCTGGAGAGAGAAAAAACACAAACATCTCTTTGGAAAAAAGTTTTATTTTGAAATTTTTTGGTTGCATTCCGACATTGCTTTTGTTCTCCATTCAAACACCGATCATCAGCTAAAGTTTCTAAATCTTTTGTTCTACATTCCAACACCGATCATCAGCTAAAGTTTCTAAACTGTTTGTGAGTGTTAATGTAGCTTTAATGAAGCATTAACATTTCTTTAAGAAGTCTTTAACATGGTCTCAGGGAGAAGAAGTGATTAGAGAAGGGAGAAGATCACAGAGAATAGACGAACACGGGTTTCAAAAGAAACACAGGCCGGAGATGACAAGAAAATGGAAACCAAAACGGGAGACAAGATAAAGAGGGCTAAGATGAGAGGAGCAGCAGGAGAGAGAAAATGGGTGATGAGAATGTCATATACTGTATTTAAGGCCTGTCATCCTCAATTGGCCAGACTGTCTAGTCAGGCACTTCAGTTTCTTTCCACTGCCGTGGGCTCGGTGTCTTAACAGTGATGATAGTGGAGAACTTTGAAAATACCTAATAGCAGCTGAGTACTTCAATAAAGGTGTTTTCCTTGAACGGCGGCCTTTAAAGGATCATCAGTGACGTGTTAACGTTTTCTTCGTGAAGGTTCTAAAATCCTAACGTTTCTAACAGGGTCCAAAATGTGTATTTTATGCACTGTTTATATAGTATTTTACACAAGTACTACAGCTACTATGACTTATATATACTTGATGCATACTTGATGGTGGCCCCCAAAACACCCTGCTGCTCTATGACCTCCTCTGGCTTGGATCTTGCTGCTCATCTGGTCATTAGTTAGCAAAGCCATCGAGATTTTTAATCATCATGTCTTTGTACTGTATGATAACAAACCATTTGTTTTGCACAGACATTAACAATGGAACAAAGAGAGAGAGAGATGACACCTCAGTCCCATGCC